AAATCAAGTAGTATGATATTAGTTACAGCCCAGATATGTTTATCATGTTTATTATGTAAGTTTAACATATGCTCATTGGTAATTTTATTTGATCAACCGAACTTGACTGAAATTATGTTGCCCGATTATTATTCAAGCCTAATTTATGAATACAGACTTTTATAAAATATGCCAAAACTACCTGATTATTTATAATTATAAAAGTTCCAAGGTATTGCACTATCAAGTATATGATCATTTTACATTTATAAATATCTCAGGGGATAAATAATATTGCTCTGTAGTTTTTCAGTTTCGTGACTGGTTAGATAAATCGATTCTTATAGAGAGATTCTTCTGATCCAAATAAGATATTACTGAAACAATAGAAAAGATCCCAGTATTTCATCTATTTAATTTGAACTAGTTACACATAAAAAATGATAAAAACATTTTCATTGACATTCGATAGAAATTAGAAATTAGGAGTCTCGCCGGGGACGGGATCGTGGATGCGCACTGCTCAGTAGTCCCACAATAGAATGAAACGGTACTTCCAGGTTTTCCATGGTGGTCTAGCTTCAATTGACTCATGATTTCAATCAGTGAAATTTCTAAAATCTCAACAAAAGCCCTTTTGAAAATTAGGAAACTTTTTTTTATTAAATTCGAATAATTTCAAATCTTCATTCTTTATTCTAATTACCTTTAACGTACGAATAACAAGATCTATGTTCAGAGTAAAATCTATTTGAAATCAAAATAGTATTCTATTTGTTTTTGGCTAGACAAATCTTAAAGATTCCTATTGTTCATTCGTAGGTTTTTTCCTTGAGTAATCATTAAAAAAAGATAAACAGTTAATAAAAAGGAACATCTGATTCCATTTGATTTGTATATTTTGATTCACTTTTGGAACATTCCTTTCACTTTTTGCAAGCAATGATGGATAGTGGCTAGCAGTCGAATCCAGGACGCGCGTTTCGTCCTATTTTGGGACTCTTCAGCTTGATGTACCTGCATCTCAGAGTTGATGTTCACTCTGGGACTCGAACCCAGTATCATTCGCTTCAAACACCATTGCGTTATCCAACATTGCTTACAAAAAGCTTGTGAATTAAGGCAATATCGAGGCATACGTACAGTATGCACATATGCCAATAACAGACTGATCAATTGCAGAATTAAACCTCAATAGGAAGATACAAGCCAAACAATACCAAATGAATTCCTTTTATTGATTCAATTTATAAATAGCTTAATATTAAAATTCAAATATGAATTTTATTAAAGAAATATAGATATTTCAAACATTCACATAACCAGACAAATCATAACAGAAGATTAACAAATCTAATTATATACTTGTATTGATTAAGAAATCAGTCATTTGGAATGATCTATTGCGTGATTTTATAAAGATTATAAGGTTATAATGATTCTTCAGTTATATGATTTTGTCTATTTCCTAAATGTATTCAAGAAGAATAGCTTTGAGTAGGGATTTATTGAAATTATTACATTATCCATTTTTTTTTTGAAAACAAAAATGTTTTATATTGACTGCGAATCCTATTGGTTTATATCATTAGCACTTTTTTCCTCTCGTTTTCCTATCTGAACTAATTTGATCCTGTTCATCAGTTTATTATTTACTAATATATATTTTACTATGATTAGTAGAAATGTTTTTGCACTGTTACAGATATCGTATACTTAAAACAAACTTCCTTGAGTTTCTTATCTTTCAATAAACGTGTCTAGCTAAAGTTGATTAACCTTTTATGATTTGATTATACTAAGAATTATTAAATATAATATCCATTTAATTTCTTTGATAAGTTTTGTCATTTACAATTGTGGACTTCAGTATATTTAGTTATAAGTTAAAGTATAGAACATGCTACCAAAGTGATCTCAAATATAAAATCATTATTAAAGATAAATAAACAGTAAATTGTTTCTAGCTTGTTACTAGTATTCAGATATCATAATAGTAGAAGTGATATTGTTAAATAATCTTTACTTGATAAGACAATTATAAGCACGAAATACTCCAAGAAGATTCATTTTTCTCCAGACACATTGTATAAACAAATATTTCTATATAAATGAAAGTTGTACTCTTTAAGTTTGAGGCAATATTCATATCAAACTAGTCAACGATGTCAAAATGTTAATTTTCCTTAATTCAGTAAGTATAAATGAATGAATGACCCCTATTATTATAACGTATTCAACAACTGTTCTCTTTTTTTTTAAACGAATGGTGTTTGAATATGATTCATTAAGGTGTCAATCTTACACATGTTTTCCTCGTATCAAATTGAATAATGTGTTCATTATTTATTGATTTGCAATTGTTTTTAGTTACTGGTTAGTGATTAGGAAAAATTCTATTCACAGTATTCATTCGTTTAAATTTCTAACTAAATATATCTTTTTAAATGTAAATGCCTCTACAATTATTTACCATATTCAGTTATATCAAATTATCCTTTGGAAACAAATAGAATAGATTTATACGAACATACTATTAAGAGTGGATTTCTACCTAGATTATTTAATTTTACATGTATATTCACCTATTCAATATGAGCAATCGTGACAGTAATTTATGGATGAATCAATCACAGCGACACTTGGACTTTAATACAAAATGAATTAATCTACATGAGTAAATAGTATTATAGAATTATACATAATGTTAGTTTGAAATGAAAACCCAAATTTTTAACTTTGAATCCTAATCTGTGCAAAATCACGCACAGTGGAGAAGGCATGTGAGCCAACTCCATTTAATCAAATGTCAATCAATATTTATAATCACACAAAAATAAGCTACAGATATGTGGTGAGTAGGATAAGATGTACACACATACGCTCATACAAAAACATTATTGATAAGCGAATAATTAACAAGGTCAAAATGTGACTCAAGAAGAATGAATAAATCGGCTTGTCCAGAAGCTAAAATGAGCTATGTAAGGTTAACAATACAACGGACACTACAAGTATGCATTTTGCCGAAGAAATCAAATTATCATACAAGAAGATGTCGTCACTGATCATAGTAATATATCTTAGTCTGGTTTCAATATGTAATTATGACCTGAGATATTTTGCTTTATTTAAAGCATTTCAACAGTAAATGAAGTATATTTTACATTTCCAATATAAGTGATTTATCAATAACTGAAGAAATCATTGTATGATTTTTAGTGAAATTATGGTGTTTTCGATCTGAATTTGCAGCTTTTTTTGTAGTGTCGGTTATTATGTTAAGCCCATATACCTTATTCTAGCATTCGGACAGCCCATTCTATTCATTCCACTTGAGTCACATTCCGACCTTGTTATTTATTCGCATATCTGAGCGCGTAGGTGTGTGTACATTTCTTATCCCATTGCTCATCACATGTCTGTAACTTACTTTTGTGTAACTATAATTATTGATTAACGTTTGGTTAAATGGGAGTTGGCTTACCCGCCATCTCCACTCTGCGTCGTTTCCCTTCTCTATATTCATTTCGTTTTATATATAAAATATATGTATTCAAAAGTCCATTCTCGTTATATGACTTATGTAAATCCGTTATTGGCTAACGGGATTAAAGTCGATGACTATATACGACGGTAGGCGACATATATATTTCAACAACAATCATCGTTACAATCGCTCTGGAGTCAGATCTCGGGCCACTAGAGTGGATAGCCCTTTCGACAACATCGTCCGATCTAAATGATAACAAAACAAAGGGCCCCACAAAATTTTAATCAATAACATTTATATTTCAAGTGCTAATTAATATACTGAGTAAGCGAAATACTCGGTAGAGTTCAACGCTTTTAACTTATATCCTAATTCATTTTGTTTGGTACATATGTTCACATATTAATATAAACTTATAATCTTCTGAATCTTTTAAAGCAATAATTTGATTAAAGTTTTTGATACTTTATGGATAAATCAAATTATTTCCACCAAGGTTTTTATATACATGTATACATATACAAATTATAATTTGGTTGTAATGAACGAACATTTAAGTGTGAACAACCAATACATTTTAATACAAAATTAGAGTTCTTTCATCAAATATAAAAATCAAAGATTGAATATTTCATTTACAAAATATCTATAAATTGTCTTAAACTTGATTATTCCTTCATTATCGTAACAATTATCCTCTGTTCCCGTTCTCTAAGATACAATCTTCTCAAACTTCTACTATAAGATATTCCATTTATGATTAATGTTATATACTACTTATGTCGATATAAATAGCATACAACGTAATGTTTATTATATCCAAAATTTCTTTTTTTTTAAACAATTGAATTATATATCTGATCATCACAAAAAATGTTAATTCACATACAGTAATGATTTACATTTGCTCAGAACATGTTTTAATATAATCACAATTTGTTGATTACTGGATGGTGATCAGTGTCATGTATGTCAAGTCCTGTTCAGTGCAGATCGAATGCTACCGATCATTTTGCAATGTGGCCACAAGTCTAGGTGACTCGACACTGCGTGCACTATATATTGAGATTAGATGGTGTTTGGAGGTAGTCGACAGGAAACCCTGGGAGCACCAGTTCCCTCAAGATTACAAGTACACCATACTGACCAGTGTCAAGTAGCTCGAAACCTGGGCCCAGGGTTTCTTGTCGACTACCTCCAACCACCATCTAATGTTTTAATAAAATTTATTGTAACCTTTTTTAAAAAAAAATGTTTTCCTATAAATTTATACTCTTACTATACAAATATTAATGATGAATACAATTTTGTATAATAAATAATATGGTTTATTATAATTATATTAGTTAATTATATTCATTTGACTATTTTATCCTACATTACTTTCAACAACCAGTCAAAATACATAATTTAGGAAAGTTGAATTTCATTGGTTATTTAGGAAATGTTATATGAGAAAGTTTTTTTTTGATGTTGTATTATAATAAAGTAATTTTCATTTATTTGATAACAACTTCAATTATATATATATGTATATATGTGTATGATTATGCATCTTAGAAGTAAAGTATATTGAGCCATATATCAATATTAAGTAAGTTCTTATTTCAGTTGATTTGAATGAGCCTTATGGAAAACAAATTGAATGTGTACTAAAGTACATTTGAATTGTATTATGTAATAATTGTGTACTTTTAATGTTGACAAATTTATATTTTTAAAATGGGTTTTGTGAAGATTTTTAGAAATTTCACAGGTTGAAATCAAGAGTCAATTGAAGCTAGACTACCATGGATGCCGGCTCAGTGGCCTAGTGGTTAAGTGCTCGCGCGCGAAACCAGTAGGTCCTAAATTCGAATCCCTCGGGGTGCGGGGTCGTGGATGCGCATTGCTGAGTAGTCTCATACTAGAACGAAACGGCCGTCCACTGCTTCCAAGTTTTCCATGGTGGTCTAACTTCAATTGACTTACGATTTCAACCTGTGAAATTTATATTTCTATAAATTATACTCTGAGCTGATAATTCAAAGAACAAAACTTTATCAAGATCATCCATTTAAGTGATAAATCTTCTATATCATCTCGTAAGTATGATCATATATTCTAATACGATTTATTTCATACTGATAGAAATTGAAAAGCAAGTTTTCTTTTTATGTTGGTTTAATATAGAAATAAGTGTTAACAAACTAAAATGATTCATTTATCTAAATCTGAAAAATATTCAGTTTTTCTTTTAACAACTCAATACATTGAGTCATATATTCTAGTTTTTTATAGAATCAATTCAGTTAAATTTGATATCAACTATACGTTAACTTGAAAATGTTGTTCATCATACTTTCATAGTGATCATATCTATGTGTTATGGAATATACTTTTAGAGTAATTAACATCGTTTCTAATCTATATAAATCATATTTTAGTACAAATGAGTATCTATGACACTTATTTAGTTCTAAACTTATTTTTTTCTACAAAACCATGTAGAAACATGTGTATATCTTGAAATATGACTTCGATGATTTGATCTTATTACATTTACGTAACATCCATTATAACGGTATATTATTCTAAAATAAAATGCTTATATTACACAGAATACGGTCATTATAATGATAGAGAAGGTAGTTTGTGAGCAACTCGAAAAAAACTGAAATGATGTTTAAATCTTGGTTGCTTTTTAAAAAAAACAACTAAAACAATCCTTTAGATCTATAAACTATCTTCAATAAATCACGTTCTACTTGTATTAATATCCATTTGGTGAATATATCTGTAGGATTATCAAGATAGACTACTGGTATAGAAATACTAATATTTTATTTAAATGATTTTAAAATTATTAATTAATTACTATCTACTTACGCTTTAGAACTGTCTTCTAATAAAGATAATGAAATCGTTAGATTCATAGGTGTCAAAACTGTTTAAGATAAAGTTATATTAATTTAAAAGTTTTAACAAAAGACGTTATTCATGGTACCTTTTATTTTCTTATTTGGATTTTACTTTCCCCCCTTCCCTCATCTATGAAAAGTACTCATTTATTATGAAAGTAGCTAGAATAGATTGTTCAATAAATTAAATTAAAGAAAGGGATATTTTCTTCTCTTTTTTTTATTATCCAAGGGAACGTTAATTAAAAGTTAATAACAATGAATTAAACACATTTAATTAAATACTCTTAATATAAATCACTTACTAAATTGAATTCCTGACTTTTGTTTAGTTTATAAAATGAAATGAAAATAATTAATTTACTGAATATATTTCTGATATAAACAATGAATGTTTGTATAAAAACACAAACAATAAATTTATTTAAACAAATACTAAGTTAATTGTTTATCTTTTCAATAGTTTGTGAAATATAATGTTTAAAATTAATTGTTCATCTATATATAACTGTGTAAAGATTACATTTTTGATAGTTGATTGTAATAAGTCTGTTTGTCAGTCAGCTACAACGTAGAATCACGAACATATATGCATCGATCCAAGTTGTCATACATAATTAGCACAACAAGCTGAATACCAAATTAATGTCACCCACAATCTCCAACCATTGGTTACGATAGTCACGCAGACCCCAACCAAGTAGTCTGCATTTACCATCAGTGCACATATTAGAAGTTAGTAGTCGTGGTAGACGATGTTCAGACATACGTAAAACGTGGCCCAGCCATCTCAGTCGATGAAGATTTAAAATCTCATCATCTGATTTACCATCATTCCCAAATACCCTGCATCCCATTGGATTCGAGCAATATTTTCAAGACATTCGTGATCAAATTCTAATAGCTTACAAGTATCTTCTGTTCCTAATGGTCACGTTTCCCAGAGCAAACTGCTGCGCAGTATACCCGTCTCTTAAGGAATAGACGGATATCTCGCCTTATATTCTTTATGATTGTAATAAAGAAAAATAGAACAAAACGCTCATCGTGGATTCCACTGCTAGCCACTATTCATTTTTGCCTATAAATCTTGTGAGTTAATGCTAATATGCCAATAAGAGATGGATCAATTTTAGTCCTATGCAACAGTGGGAAAATACAAGCAAACAACACCAAGTGGATTAAAAATGGTTATTTGTTTCCATTTTTAACTATTGATAATAACAAATCAAATCAAATCAGTATTTTAAGTATCAATACCAATTTCGAATAAACTGAATAGATTTTTACAAATAAAATAATATATTTGTAATATCTCAGTGAATATAAAGATTAGATTTTCTAATATTTCATAACTCAGTGTAAATCACTTCTCGAAAGAATAAATAACCGTGTCAATTTTAATAGTGTATTTAAACTTGAATGAATTTTGATTTGGTTATTTATTCTCTGAAGAAGTGGCTTATACTGAGTTACGAAACATCAGAAAATCTTATTTTTCCTACTTATTGAAATATTACAAATATATTAATTGAAATAAAAATCTCTATTTATTTTACAGATTAATTAATTTTAATTCTATGTTTTAATTGCTCTTTCGATAATCTAGATATATCAGTGAAGCTATTTATCATTAATAAATGATCAAATAAACCCTGTTAAAAATAGTATTCTATTCCTATTTTTTTTAAAAAGATAAACCAAATTAAATCAGAACTTAATATTTCACTGGGTAACAGAAGGCTCAAAAAAAGAATAAAATTGTAGTTAGGTGAAAACGTTGTCGTCACCCTATTATTACAAATAATCAAAAATAAAAAAAAATATTTTTTAAAATTTTATGTTTATCGTATAGAGCGCGTTATATTACATTTTTAAAAAAAAATAAAATAAAATGAATGGAATATTAATGGCGTCTAAGTTGGATTATTTATTTTAACAACTTACCATTAGTTTTGTTTAAATGAATATCAGGTGAGTATAAATTGATGAGACTATAAAAAAAGAAAAAATAAAGAAGATAAAATCAATGAAATCAACATTTAGAAATTAAAAACAAACATAAATCTAACCAATTTTGTGGTTAGTTAATGTAAATGGGATAAAACAAACAAACAAACAGATTAAAGTAAACATATGGGAAATGGTTTAGTTATTTATTGTAAAAAAGATATTTAGTTATATAATGTGAATTTAATTTTTTTCTTTTTTTACTTAATGCTTAAATATGAAATATAAATCTTTCTAAAATTTACTTTTCATTATATAAAGACTGTGATCAATATTTATTCGGATTAAATTAGATGAAGCTAAGATGTTTAATGACTATCAGTGAAATGTAGGTTGCGTATTTCATCTTATTTAGGACTCGTCAGTGGGATGTACCTGCATTCCAGAGTTGATGTTCACTCCGAGGCTCGAACTCAGTAACATTCACTTCCAGAACCATCACGTTATCTACTTCGGTACTAATTCCTGATAGCCACCTGCTTATGAAATTGGATATAGGTACATCCATTTGACCAGTCCCAAATAGGACGAGACGCGCGTCTTGTATTTCACTGCTAGTCACTATCCGTCTTTGTTTGAAAAACTTGTGAGTTAATTCAACATCGAGGTAATCCGCACCGAATATACATATGCCAACATGAAACTGATCGATTCTAGTCCTAAACAACGATGGGAAGGTACGAGTATAACAACATCAAGTGTATATTAGATTAGTTTAATGTCTGATATTAGCGTCAGTAATGAAACGTCGACGAAACTTGTTCATAATTGAAATAGAATAACTTGAATAAAGTAATATCTATAATAAATAAGTTTATATGTATTTGTAATATTCCAATGAATATAATAATGAGATTTTCAAGCATTTCGTAACTCAGTGTATGCTACTTCTTCAGAGAATAAATTTTGAAAGTGATATCTAAAATATACAAGTTGATAAACTTCTTTCAAATAGCATTTAATTAACCTGAATTGAATTTAAAATGTGTGTACTTTACGGAGAATTTTACTTTCAGATCATCTATGACTTATCTTGATTTTATTAATTACACTTCGCTTTGATTTTATTTCTGAAATAAAAGGAATATCATATTAGTATCAAGCATCAAAATGTATGTCGTCTTATTTTAATAGAATCCAGTAACATCAAATTTCCTGATATATAATAGTGGTTGCTTTGACCGATGTACTTAATAAAATGACTCCATATGAGTTTTCCGTTCTATTCATAAGTGATCAGAATTAATTGTTCTAAACTTTAGCAAAGTATATTTTTTACATACATTTTGTATATAATAAATATTTTACATACATAGAATACATAATATATATTTTGAACTGTACTGCACATCAAGATAAATGTTCAGTGTGAAAATCATTTGATGATATGAATAAATTCATTTCATCACACTCAATGTTATTAACATTACTGTAACTGCTGCGTTCAGTTATTTGATGTAGTTGTAGTGTCGGTTATTATGTTAAGCCCATATACCTTATTCTAGCATTCGGACAGCCCATTCTATTCATTCTACTTGAGTCACATTCTGACCTTGTTATTTATTCGCTGATCAATCTTGACTGTTTTTATATGAGCGCGTAGGTGTGTGTACTTTACTTATCCCATTGCTCATCACATGTCTGTAACTTACTTTTGTGTAACTATGACTATTGATTAATGCTT